TCGTGTTCGCACCGACCTACATCTCGCAAATAGTTCCGGTCTGTGGGGAATGCAGGGGTGGCTACGAGCTGCGGATACGCGGCAGTGGATTCTGGGCTAGTGAGAATGTTACGGTGAGGTTTGTGCCCCTGACGGATGGTCAATTACTTAGAGGTACGCTGGGAACATTCTGTGAAGCTACGGGGGAGGTGGTTTGTCAAGTTCCGAAGCTGCGGCTGACGGGGGAATACGCTGTCGAAGTGTCGATGAACGGGAAGCATTTCACCACCAACGGTAGGGTTTTTACGGCGTTTAAACGTCCACAAGTTGCTGGTGTGTCAGTGCTCGACGCTCGGTTTGAAGGCGGAGAGGAAGTTGCAGTCTCGCTTCGTGGTAGTCTTCCGGAGATCTGTAGACACCCAATTGTCAGGTTCGTACGCTGTTGTATCGATAAAGACAGCGGACAACTCAGTCCCATGAACAACGTTGAGAGTTTAGTGGCTGTTGGAGGGTTTGACGAACGTTTAGTAAACGTTGACGAAGCCGATGTTGCGTGTAGACTGCTACGTCTGACGTTACCTGCTCTACCCAGTAATCAAGAGGGCATTGCACCGTTCACTCTTGAGATCTCGTACGATGGAGGTCTCGTGTTTACGCCAGTATGTGTGGATATAACATTCGTCTGGAAGGACGACGAAGATGAAGACGACGACAACTTCAGCCACATTTCTACACTAGAACCTCACGTTATCTGGGCTCATGACGCGCATCTGGTTCGTGTAAGTCCCAACTCGTTCCTCACTAATGATCTGCCACATAAAGTTACACTTGAAGTGCCAAACATGCTTCCTCCTGAGGTAGCTCAGCTGTTGGTGACCATCGAGCACACCTTTCCCAGAGAGGATGAGGACTCGGAGCCTATGAATATGTCGATAGCTCTTAGCATCGATGGAGTTGAAGGGAACTTTGTGACGTGTACGATTCCACGGCTATCAGAGTGGCAATGCATCCCTCCAACTAAGAAGAAAGCTCAAGGTCTACTGACTGAATGGTGGAAGATCTACACGAAGACGGGGTTTGTATCTCACCTGCACGTGTCTATGAACTCCGGAAGAACGTATCTGCCAGCTAAGCCCCAACTCGGAGGGAGAAGCCTCTCAACTGCAGCGCAAGTGTTCGGTATGTTAGCCACGGGAACGTTGCTAAGTATTTTCCCTAATGTAGGGATGGTGTCTGGAGGTACACAAGTAGCTGTTGCTGGCGATTTCTTCCACTTCGATACGCAAGATGCGACTGTGAAGCTCAAGTGGAGAGACAGTAGCGTAGTATTGCCAGCCATTTGCTTGCGACCAGAGGAATCCACGGAAGTTAAAGACGCCAACTCAAGTACCAGACGTGTGGTGTTCCGTACTCCACCGCTGCCGTTTCCCGATGACTCAGCCACTGCCGCTGCAATGGATGACGGAATGATCCTTGGAGCTCGAGAAGAAGTCGAAGTGTTTGTATCGCTGGACGGCGAGCATTTCACAGATGCTGGTTTGAGCTTCATGTATTGTGCAATTCCCGAGATTAATGGAATTTTCCCTCAAGAAGCAGAACCTGGAACTAGAATGGTACTGACGGTGCAGAAATTGATCGCTACATCTTCAGCATGTGTGAAATTGGAATCTGTCGAGTCAAAACTCTCTTTGGTACGTTCGTATGTGCCATTTTCAGTTAATGTTGCGTTTCTGACGCAATTTTTGACGATATTTGTTAGGTGGTACCGGCAGAGATCGACGAAGGAGCTCACACAGCAGCGTTTGTACTTCCAGAGCTCCCGATTTCTACGCACGAACTTGTGCATGTCTCGTTATCACTCAATGGTCAAGAGCTCACCGCGGTAGACACAGACTCCACTGTGACGACAAGTGAAGCAAAAATGAGCTTCCTCTACAAAGGAATCACAGCGTGAGCTGCTTTTCACACCGTAGACAGCAAATGATTTCTTCTAACGAAAAAGACGAGAATAAAAACGGCGGTATCATAACTAGACCTCGAGGTATTAACATGGCTCCCGCGTGTAATACTTGGCATGGCAATCTGTAAAATGACGTCGTGCTGACGTCACAGGTCGTAAAATAGTTTAAAACACGTGGTTAAAATCAATCGTTATCAGCCCAGTGGCACCTAAGCATTTTTTTTAAAGCTATTTCATTCAGGCATTTCCAAAATGCTGCACGATGCGCCGTCACATGCTGGATCAGGGATTTAGAGTGAAGGATGCAATGACCCCCGGCAAACTCGACATTTTGACCATCATTCCTGCAGCGACAAGGTGCGCATATTTTTATTTTTATTATCGTTTGAAATTTTAACTTTTTTGTTACTGACATTTTTGACACTTCAATTCTGACGTTATGATCTTGTATGACGTTGCAATTGTTTTTAACCAGGGGATCCGGTATGTGCGAAGTCTGATTAACGAAGAGGCCTCTAAGGGCAAGTGGGATCGGTTTTGGCGATATTTTCGCAAGACGTGGATGGGGCGCTTTGATATCAGCTTGTGGAACGTCAATAGCATGATGGTTGGTGGGATTGACATCACAAACAGGACCAATAACCCGCTCGAAAAATACAACCGCGACTTCGGCGAGAAATTTGGGTGTGGAGCTCATCCAAGCTTACTGGCGTTCATGGAGACAGCTAAAGCCGAGGCACTAGGTTACGTGAACCGCATCCATGACATCAAGCTGGGAATTCAAACAGCGCCTCACCACGCTGAAGCTGTCGTCACTCAAGTCCCAGACGACTACATGAACTTCATGTAAACAGTTTGAACAGCTTTTGGACAGTTTGGATAGCTTTTGGATAGTTTGAATAGCTTTTGGACAGTTTGGATAGCTTTTGAACAGTTTGGACAGTCCTGGAAAAATATACAAAACAATTTTTTCGTTTATTTAATCCGTCATTTATCAATTGGACAATTTGGACATTGTTGGACTCGTTTTGGACAGAATATCTCCTTCCGACCGAAGAAGGTGTCAGTGTCCAATGTGTACACCGTGAACCCGAAAAACGCCGTCGTGACGGTGAACAAGAACTGGGGCGATGAGGCCACACTGAGTAACATTTGGTTCAAGTCCAGCGGAAAGAAGAAGGTGAAGATCTGTCAGTGGTCTCAGGGCAATGCAGACGGCGAGCCATCCATGCTGGGTGATGGTCCGCCTCCGCCACTGTGCCAGTACTCCGAGAGTGACGTGCATATCAACGGCGACGTCTCTCAAGCTGCTGGTGGTTCGACTCCAGCGTCTTCAGATGACGACAACGCTGAGCAAACACCCGGCACTGTTGCTCCTGCTTCACCCAACGATGACAATGACGAAACCTCGCAGAACACTCAACCTTCGAAAGCAAGCGGGGACAGTGACGACAATAATGAGGCTTCGTCAAAATCTAGCAATGGCAAGTCGGATGAGAGCAAGGCCGACGACAACAACAAGCAAGACGACACGAAATCATCGAAGGGTAACGACAAGTCGGATGAGAGCAAGTCCGACGACAACAAGTCCGGCGACACGAAATCATCGGAGAACGGCGACTCGACGCAACAGGGGGAGCCCACCGGAGACGAGAGTGTAACTCAGTCGGAGATTTCTGACGAAGCTGGTGCTTGGAATGAGACATCCACCGACGAACCCGGTGTAGACGCGAACTTTGCTAACCAGGACCCCACGGTAATTTTGACCCCTTCGACCAAAACCAAGTGCAACGGCCGCCGCAAGAGGAACTAAAGCAAGCGCTAGCGATGGCACTGAATCGCTTTTTAGCAGGCGTCGTGTAGTGACATATTACGTCCAAGAAAAAAAATTGATGTCTTTCTTTTCCTTTACTACCAGAAATATCATCCGTCACAGTAATAACAAAATAATATGCCAGCAGACTTTACCACGGCTCATCAGGTAGTTCCAAGTAATGTTTAACCTTAGCTAAAACCCTTTACCATAATTTTCAGTATAGAATAATATTTCTTAAGTCTAGCACCGCCAACGCATCCGAAAAGCCATATAAACCAAACTTTAAAAAGAAAGAGATACCCACAAAAAAATAAAGGCGATGCGAGTTATCATTTTGCACATTTCTGTTGGGCGATGCGATCACTTTAGCTGAGAACCGATCCCCTGATTCTGGACGACGATTTCCACCGGTGACTTTATACTTTAGTGTGCACTGTTCACAGCCTTATTATAATACAGCACTATCCAATATATGACCCCAGCATGTTATAGTCCGAGAGCTATACCGGTTTTAACCCCAGACAATAAAACACATGTAGTAATACCAACCAGAGTAATAACATTGCTTCTTAGACAATACTATATCGAAGGCAGATGTATAATGGCTATGGAAGCTTCCATCCGGCAAAACTGCGGGCAGTCACTTGGCGTTTGACCCCCCCCATACCATCATCCCCTCTTTGATATACTGGTATATTGGTGGCACGAGGCGCCACAAATGACAGGGTCGGCATTATAAACTAACTGGTGATTGTTTGGTGGTGACGTACTGTAGTAGGTCACACCGAAAAAACGCGAATACAGTCAGGGGAAGCTGGCACTTTCGTAGGTCTCTTGCCGATTGTATTGCGCGTGTCGGCTTTGATGTAAAACCAAAAGTGAACTATAAAGATATGCACGCCGACAAACCGCTCTATTTAACTATCACTAGCGTCCCAGTGACAGCGTCCTGCAAGGCAACGTCCTGGAAGCTCTCTGCCACGATGTATACCACCAATGGCTGATCAACAGCATGTGGCAGAGCCACAGGTCGCGGAGCGAAGTTCGAGATGCAGGAGCAAGGCAAGCTGAACGTTCAGCCGAGCGACTGGACGCTCAAGGTCCAAGACCTGGTTGTGATTCAACAGTGGTGGCTCTAACCTTTCCACAAGATGGATCATCTCTTCGAGATCGACCGATGGACACTGAACATGAACGGTCACGTCGTGGACGCCGGCGTCGTTTGGACGCAGACACCGTTCCGGCAAGTGCTGACTCTCCCCGCGAGAGCTCAGCTGAGACAAGACCTCCTCCCGCTCTGCTTGATGAGCATGGTGAACTCCACTTTCACGTGGAACGCCTTGTGGCGCGGCGTAGACGCCAGGGTCGTACCCAGTACTTGGTGAAGTGGAGGGGTTACCCTCACTCACAGAACCCATGGGAGTTTGAGATTATCCTCCGGCAAGATTTCCCTGCCGTCGTTAACGCTTACGACCGGGCTCATTATGTGCCGAAGCGCCACCATGGCGTGCGACAGCGTCGCCAGGCGCTGGGTGCCTCCCACTAGAGTGGGGAGCTAACAGGTCAGTAGTCGAGGTCAGGCTCTGATCAGTGGCTGCAGCAGCTAGCTCGTACGTATGAGCGATACTCGCAGCGGGAGAAGGCGGTGGAGAGACCTCGTGGTGTTAGGTACTGGTCCCGAAGGAAGCAGGTGCTTCGTGGTGTGCTGAACAAGGTTCAAGCACAAGCGTCTCGATAGACGCATATTTTTTTTAAAACAAACTTGCTTGATGAGCATGATCCAAATGTGGATGCGCTGTAGCAGCGAAAGGGGTGTCCCGGCCGGAGATCGAACCACTGGCCTTTGGCTTGCCAGGCCGAAAATACCATTGAGCTATAAGGGCGATGCCCGTACGTTAGTCCGAGTACAGACTACTCATGGTATGAGAGGGCTGCGCCCGGGTGGATTTGAACCACCGACCTGTGGCTTCCAAAGCCAACGCTCAACCACTGAGCTGAAAGGGTGTTGCCCTCAAGCTTGTACATTCAAGGACAACAGTTGATGGAGCGAGAGGGCTGTGCCCTGGTGGGTTCAAACCACCGACCTGTGGCTCTCAAAGCCAACGCTCAACCATTGAGCAAAAAGGGTGTTGCCCTTACGTCTGTCCAAGCGTGGCCAATCGTTCATGGAGCGAGAGGGCGACGCCCTGGTGGGATCGAACCACCGACCAATCGCTTGTAGAGCGAGTGTTCAACCGCTGAGCTGCTGTCGACGACTCGGATGAGTCAAGAGCATAGCTATAAGCGGCTTGCAACTCTTGGAGTAGGCGCGGAGCGCGAGCGTAGGTCTGAGACCGCTTCAGAGCAAGGTGCGCGTTGCGCTTGGAAAATTAGGCCTTGGGCCGACGACGAGAAGCTGGGCATCAACGATGCGTAGACGTTTGTAAGCTCACGGAGTTGTACAACGCTGGTGTGAGGTGTAGTAACCTCCGCCGTCTTAACGAGACGTGACCTCGCTGAGGAAAGTTTAGAGAATGGAATGTTCTCATCTTAGAGGGGGGGGGGGTAACGGGGTTACATGGTGTGAAACACACAGGGGTACGAAGTACCCAGAGAGCTTACCAACGCTCAGTACATAGGTGGAGAGTTAACAAGGTCTCTCAGTACGTTGGCTGATAGCCACACGTTATGCATTTGATTAGGTTTAACTATGATAGATAGTTAAAGAGATACATTTACCCCTAGGCGGCTTGGCCGCAATAATAGTAAATAAAACACTTCTGGTTTTGAAGTATCAGCTTTGAGCCCTGGTCTTGGGCTGTAAGTGTCCTTTGGATAAGGAACTTAGTATTAGTGACTCTTTGAGTCGAACGTCTTCCTCTGACGCTAAAGCTACGGCAGCCCCGCTGCATTTAAGGGCTGGTGTGCGGGATGAAGAAGTACTACTGCCATTAAATGCTTAATACATTTTGTACCCATATCGTACCGTATCTAATTTTTCTATCGCGGTCTTATTGTCAATTTCTATGTGTTTCTAAGTGGGGCTGTCCTCCGGGAAAATTGGGTATTTGAATGCTGATTATTTTTTGTTTTATCTCGTAATTATTTATGTGCCTTTGTCACAAAACTTCTTGTTTAATAAATAAATTGACAAACTCAATTGAATTTAATGGCTATTCTATGTGGCCCACATTATCATCTCAACAACTCACCAATGCTTCGGCTGCTGCGTCCTCACGTCCATTTTCCTCTGCGCCGCCACGTGCGCTGCATTTCGTCCTGCTTCGACGCTCGCCCCCATGAGCTCAGTGCGTCTGGGCAACCGGTCCGTGTGCTCTTCGGCGCAAAAGTTGCGGCAAAACAGCTTGGTGCATTAAGTCGCGCCAGTGGCATGCGGAAGGTGCTACTGGTGCGCGACCGCGACGCTGCCGCCGCCTCACGCACTCAATACGCCGAGTTCTTGCTGATGCAAGCTGGAGTGCCCTGCTTCCAGTACACATTGGAGCGTGACTGTGCCAAATCTTGCCTTGCAGCTACAGTAACGTGTCGACCGGTTGCGGTGGCCTTTAGATCTAGAGGCCTGAGATACTCCGTGCGTGCAGCGGTAAATCCTCTGGAACCACTCGAACTCGGTAGGTATATGATCCTTATGGGTGCTACAGATACAATAACCACCTTTTAGTTTGGATATACAGCCAAAGCTAACAGCAAAACTTACCTGTTGTAAAGAGCCGTCTTTTCTGAGCTCCGCACCCGAAAGTTGAGCTTGTACTTCTTCTTGTATGCATTGAAGATCTTCTCAAATTCCTCCCAAGAATTAATCATCTTGGCCGGCCCAAACGCTGGAGCTGTATTCACGATCTTATTTTCACCTGAGTTCATTGATTGTAGCTCTGTGAGGTGCTTACTCACGCGTTTTCTTGGCGAATATTCACCACTTGATTGCACTAATGTTTCCTGTCTTTTCCGCTTAACCAGAGAAGACTGCATTGGCGCATGAGGTGAAGTGCGCTTCAGCAATGTTCTAGTAGCCTTCGAATCTAGCAACAAGCAAAATGTGAGCTTGTAAGATGCTGAATGAAGCAACCCTTACGCATATAGCAACCATACCTAGTTTCACGTTGCCTTGTATCGTTTTATTCTTGTTACTCTGAGCGCTTGGCTTCCTAGAAGCATGTACACCCCACACAACAGCTCAGCAAAACGTGTAGTAACGTAAAGTGCAGCAAACAACCTTACCGGCAGCTGCTGTGCTTCCCTCGTTTGATTTGCCAGAGGAAAGGTTCTCATCTTCTTCCTCATCCTCCGAAACGGCCTCCAACACGTAGTCTTCGTCGCTGGCGTCGTCATCCTCAATCCCGAGCGCATTATACGTGATTTTCTGCTGTCCGTTTACATTTCGCGTTCTTCGGTCTTCTGTTCGCACACAAACACATACAAGTGGTAAGAACTACAGCCACAGCTCTAAAGTTCGACTCATGTAGTCTACCAGCCATCGTCCTATCCTTCGCACGCTGTCCCTCGTACTCGCAACGCTTACTAGCGCGGCGCGAATCTACCGCGTGGCCGTCGCAGAGCTGCCCAGTTTCAAATATGAGCGGCTCAGAGCAATCGTACTTAATAATATGATCCTACTTAACCGAGTATATTCGTACTTAGGTGCTGATACGGTATTTTAAAGTGGGTGTAAAATACTTTCTTAAAATATAATTTATCTTTCGCTAAGAGTTTTTTTGAAATTCTGGTATAGCAACCATAACTGAGCTATAGCAACCATAAATGTCGCATATTATGGTTGCGGTAACGACTCCGGATTTTAACGGAGCTGACACAGCAAAAAAAAATACTAGCACACTAACAAATTACGTGTAGTTCTCTGGATTTTATATCCAGAGATTTCGGAGTCATTCTGACCCAAAACTACTCTAGATTTCTAAACTCAGATCCCAAACTAACGTTTCTAGCACAAAACTTAAATAAATTAACCTCTGCAATCGATACGTCAACTAACGTTACAATGTATATAAGATCTACACGATTGCCGTACCTAAGCTATCCTCTAAATGTACATAACTTGTCATTCCAGCTGGTATCAGAAACATCATTTTTACTGTAATCAAGGTTAATGGCAATATATAACTGAATACCGTGATGTCACCCAGGTGAATGTTGCTTGTGTCGGCTAAGGGTAACATTACTGTAAATTACGACTAACCAAAGTAATTTAACCCGCGTGAATGTTGTTCGAGCAAAGCCTTATGCAGCAAATGCATACGACATATCATACCGCCAATATCTCTCTTGTGATCGCAGTGCGACTCGCACTGTGTGATCGCGTATTTACTTCGTTATACAGGACTGCAGTAGAAGATTAATTCAATTTCAAGTGAGGTATATTGTGTTATGTTAGTGACCTAATGGTCATCAATATCCGAGACTACCACCCATTCCGTTGCTAGTCTTTTTGTGCTTCGGTCTCTACTTTAGGATGACTAGTCCTGTTTTTCTGTCCGTCATCGTCCGCAAATCGCGTTTGCCATTCGCTGACATCATTAGCTGCGTGTGTTAACGCGTTCTGCTCCAGCAGTAGAAGATTACAGTAATGCGTTAATAAGGAAAGCATGGGAGCTGATATCCTTGTAAACATATTTATTATATTTGACAGGTACATGCACTTGTTCTTGAAAAGTTTATTAGATTGAAAAGTATCTTTTTGGCACTTTGAGTATGCTAAGCTCCTTGCTGACACTGTACGTACGTGTAAAACTAATGGTGAAGAAACTGTTCTGCACACAGTAGTGTACAGTAATGCAGAGCTTCTCCGTCAAACACGGCATAATAAATGAATGCTTAATCAATTAAAGCTGGTGTCGTCCAAAACAAATTTTATACATGCATTTGCCTTGCCAATCTGTTGCGAATCTTATAATTTTCAGAGGTTCCTTGGGCCGAAGGCTCGAGCTGTTTTTTTGTTGTTGTCAAAATGCTTAGGCCGTGTTCATTCGATCTAAGCTAAAAACAGCTGTAATTTTTATCAAAGAGCTGGAATGCTTTATTCCGCTAAGAAACACAAAAAAATGACATCCAGCAGGATAGCTCCTAACGACTGGTTTCAAAATTCAGCTTTGGGTTGAATTTAGATTCGTCCTCCATTGCCCCTTAAAACAGTAACAGTAGCTCTAAAACCAACGGATGGAGCAGCAGACGAAGAAACAAAGGGCGAACTGGAGGCGTGTGGATGAAAAGGCGCTGCTTAAGTGCTTCCTTGCAGCGCGCAGCGATGCTTCCTTAAAAAGCGACAAAGGTGTCAAGTAAAGGGCTGGGCGCTTATCGTAACGCGCCTAGCGAAAGAGGATCTCTGCTGACAAAGGTTAGTGGTTTCCGTTGCCCGACACTATTGTACTTACTGTTTTACTGTATTTGGCAGACCAGTGCAAAACTAAATACTCAAGACTGATGTACGAATACGATGTATTCAAGAGAGTTGCCTCCTCCTGCATCTTAGCAAGCGCTTGGAGGAGCCACAGGTCATCGTCGTCGTCGCTGTCTACCATTTTTCCCTGGTGATTGATCTTATTTTCTTTGTCGACCTGAGTATAATGATGGGCGGTCGTAGACGCCTTCAAATCCAGCCTTTTTCTGATGGAACACGATCACTCATTTGTAACGACGCACCAACGTCACAGCCAGCGATGGCCATGACGTTGGTACCAATGCGTCCTACTTTCTTCTATTTCTTTCCTACATGTCTTTGCTGACTGCCAACTGTCGTCTTAAGTCGCCAATGAGCGGCCAGACAGACACACGCCTGACCGGAAGGCAATCACCATGTTTGGATGAGTATTGCCAAACATGGAACTTCAATGACAGTCATTCTTTTTCATTTTGAATTCACTATGGAGATTCTGACCCGGTTCAAATGAACCGCGGTTCACTACTACGCTACGCCACTTCAAGATTCGACTTAAGGACTACTTAGAATCTAGTATAGTGAAATGCATATACTTACATAGGATACCAAGGGAATGCTAACAAGCACTTCCTCGTAGCCGACAAACAACTAACCATTTCAATCTCACTTTCCAATTTACCTTCTTCGAGGCACATCAACTGCCTCCTACACCTTACCTTCGAGTCCCCATCGTTGGACTCTTGCCGCCCTCCTCCGCTTCGCTCCTCGCCACGCGACTCGTTCCTCGTCGCTGTTCCTCTGCGCCGTGCTCTCACCAGTCGTCACATCTGGTAGCACTTGCTGTTTTTTCGTCCGAGAGGGGGTTCTTCATTCTCTATTCGCTACGCGACACGTGGAAAGCCGCTCGTTGAGCGTGTGTCGTCGTTCTTCGCCTCCACATTCGTCGGATTTCTTCGTTGCAACCTCGTTTCATACGGCTTGCCGTGTTGGATTTTTGCGTGCGTACTGCACTAAGCGTCTGGTCTATAAGAACCGGATCAAGTTAGTACCCGTACCTAACGTCGCATCCTTCATCAGCGTTATCGTTGATTGCGTGTGTACTGTAAGTGTCTGGTCTATAAGAACCGGATCAATTCAGTACCTCCACCCCTCGTCGCTGTCCACCTGTACTTTTCGGCACTTCATCGCTGAATTTTTCGACAATAAACCATGACTTCCTTAAATCGTCAAGAATGGTCTACTGACGCTATCACGCAGAAACGCATCGAAATGGTTGACAAGCAGCAACAACTGCTTGAAGCCATGAGTAAGCGTGAAGTGAAAGTGGAAGGTATCCGTCTGCCTGAATTTCATGGTACGATGGGAGAATCTGTTGATTTGTACTTCGAGCAACTTGCTCAGTACTTTGATGCCAAAAACATCGATTGGCAAAACGACAACCAAAGTTCTCGAATTTTGGCCATTACTATTGCGAACTTTAAAGGAAATGCTGCCGCTTGGTACAAGCTGAACAAGCGTGATATCAAGGACATGCAGGACCTTATGGCCCGGTTGACCGATGAATTTGTGCCTCCGGATTTGCAAGAGCGTTTGCGTGATCAATTGTACGCGCTCAAGCAGAAAAATTGCTCTAGCTTGGAAGATTACATCTCTCGCTTCCGTGAAGCCATCATGCAAGTGACAGACATGAGTGATGTGGACAAGATCACTTACTTCACACGTGGGCTAGTCAGTCCTACGCGCGAAGAGGTGCAATATCGTCGCTGTACAACAGTGTCGCAAGCAATGAAGATTGCTTTGGAGTATGATCGATCGCATCATGTCCGCGGTAAGAACTATCGTCCACCGTTCTTTTCGCAGGACCGATCACGCTCTCAGTCCAACAACAATTCGCACCAAAAGCAAGCCACGCCTATGCGTGTTCAGGAGAACGAGCCCGAGCCAATGGAAATTGACTCAGGGAGTACTCGAAATCGCCGTTCTGCTTCTTCTTCGTCGTCTAACAAGCGATGTCGTTACTGCAAGAAGTCTGGTCATGTCATTGAGCAGTGCTTCAAGTTGAAGAACAAGGAGAAGTATGCTCGAAAGAACCGTCACGAGCAATCTGCCGCGAACTTTAATTCTTCTTCTCCTACAATTGCTGCTGCTGAACGAGCGTCTATGACCCGTTCCGATGACGAGGTTGAGGTTGTTGAAGTGGAAGAGATTTCCCACGTCCCACCCTTGTCGTCCATGCATCGTGAGAACGAGCTCATTCGTAAACAAGGGACTTGTGATGGGAAACCTGTCGTCATCATGTTCGACAGTGGTGCTACGTGCAATGTTGTTCGCCCAGGTTTAGTCGCTAACACCGCTACGTCTGGTGTCTCACAAGTCACTCGGTTCGACGGAACTTCTACGAAAGCGCGTTCTGTGAAGAAAGATCAAGTGACTATTGAATTCGGTCGCTACCGTTTCCGCAAACTTCAAGTCATGGAATGGTCACTTGGATCTGCCCATGATGTCATCTTGGGAAAACCTTGGTTTACCAAGTTTCAGCCATGTATCAATTGGCGTTCGCATGAGACTTCGTTTCCAAGTGTGTCTTGTGCACCTCCATCAACGGTTGCTAGTCAAGCAGCTGTGGAGATTGCTGCTGTTGACTACCAGATGCGTATCGCGCTCAAGAGTCGCAAGTATACCGCCTTTCGCACGCACGCTGAAACTTACCAGTGGTGTGTAGCTCCTATGGGATTGGCCGGTATGTCTGGTGTTTGGTCTCGCCTCATGAGGGTACTCTTTGCGAAGTACCGATTCATTGTTGTCTACTTGGATGACATTTGTGTCTTTTCCACCAGTCTGGAAGAGCATGTTGAGCATTTTCAAACTCTCTTCGAGGTTCCAATCGGGAGAATTTGTTCTGTTATCTCTCGAAGTGTCACTTTGGTTAGTCCGAAGTTAAGTTTTTCGGCCATACGATTTCTGCCAAAGGACTTGCTGTTGATACTCGCAAGACTGAAGCGATTGCAAAGTGGCCTACTCCACTAAACCAAAAGCAGCTACAAAGCTTTTTGGGTCTCGCAGGTTATTACCGTCGCTTTATCC